GGATTTTGACACAGGATTACTCGAGAAGTACACAGTAAAAATACTTCATATTATGTATGCTCGTAGTCTAGGAAGTACTTAGTTCAGCGGTATATGAATCATAGACTACTTATGGAAAATAAGTTTTTTATTCCACATCAAAGTTGGGTGAAATATCCTTGATCTTGTGATCTGTTAAGGATTTTGACAAAGGATTACTCGAAAACTACACAGTAAAAGTACTTCATATTATTCATGCACGTAGTCTAGGAAGTACTAAGTTCAGCGGTATATGAATCTTGGACTACTTATGGAAAATAAGTTTTTATTCTACGTCAAATATCCTTCAACTTGTCCTCTGCAGCCTGACCCACGGTCACTACCAGCAGCTCTTCACAGCCGTTTCATTACGATTACCGTAAATGTTAGTAGATTCGCGCACTAGAAAAAAACGTGCGGCTGATTTGACCAAGCAAAAGCGAATCACGGCTGGCTAGACCGCAGTCAAACAGAACAAGCAAAGCCTCCCGACTACTCTCCATTCAATATTAACGTTATGTTTTGCTGGCATTAATCATGCCAACAAGCTAACGTTATAACGTTAGCTAACTTCAATGTTAAGTTACCTGTAACATTAGCTAATTTAGCTAGTATCCTGACGGTTACAGACAGTAATTGACATGAACCTACAAACAATAACGTTATGTTAGGTTATCAACTTACAGAAAATATAACAGGGAATGGTTTCTTACCTGATGTCGCCAGAATAATAATAATAACGTGAAGTTCGTGTAACGTTAGTTAGAAGACAGATCCCGCCGGACCCTTCCGTTTTTTTTTTTTTGTTCTCCGTTAACAATGACAAGCCACGACTCACTAAATATGCAAGCAGGTGTAAAATAAGCCAGTTATTAATCTAGGTAACGTTATTCGATGGGCAGTCGCGCCGATGTCCCGCAGCACAGCCATTCAAACTGACGTATTTTCAAATTAAGGCGCGCAGAGTTGTCATTGGACAGTTCTTCTTCTTCTTCTTCTTCTTCTTCTTCTTCTTCTTCTTCTTCTTCTTTGGTGTTTAAGGGCGGTTGGCATCTAAATTTTTGCATTACCGTATAGCCAAGGGTTTATATCTGCCTTGGTGAAACTATAAAATAATAAACATGGAGGCTCCAGTAACTTAAGGACGACTTCTCCCATTTTCCCAGTCAAAAGCAAACATTGCATATACCACTTCCGCTCTTTCACTCTTCACAATAAGAGCCCATAACAGGAAACTCAAAATCATCAGTCATAGGTTACACTAGTATCTACTGTACTCTTATTACAAAAAGAAAAAAAGACCCCCCCTCAATAAATAAATAAATTAAATAACATTTCCCTACATCCCTCATCGCATAGGCTGTTATATTTAATTGATTGTCCAAATGTTTTTTTCATTGCAGTGTATGAATACAATTTTTTTATTAGTTCTGTCCAGTGATCTAAGACAGATTAAAATATACTACTATCCTCTATTAAATGGAGTTGAATGAATGCATATGATGTTTCGTTTGTCAGTTATTACGGGGATCTTTCCAGGCTTTCTATCGTTTGTATGGGTTGTTGTGGATGCTGTATCACCACCCGGAAATATTTTACTCACTCTGTTAATGTTTTCTTTTAATGATATCTTGTCAAGTTTTGGGCATGTGGGCTGAAGTACACCCGAAGTAGAAACTTATCGCAGGTAGATGTTTTCTACACCCTAATATCACAACCCTAACCCTAACTTAGACTTAGACTTTACAGAGAAAAACATTAGATTGTTAGTATGGAAATAAACCTTAATATAATGACCTACATGTTTAATTACCGACATTGAATGTGAAAGTACATATAGGCTAAATATAAAATTAATAAGATTTACCATTAATTTACAGAGAAAAACATTAGATTGTTAGTACGGAAATAAATTTTAATATAACGAGCTACATGTTTAATTACAGACATTGAATGTAAAAGTACATATAAATGTAAAACTAATAAGATTTACCGTTAAATTACAGAGAAAAACATTAGATTGTTAGTATAGAAAAAAACCTTAATATAACGAGCTACATGTTTAATTACAGAGAATGAATGTAAAAGTACATATGAATATAAAAACAATAAGATTTATCATTAATTTACAGAGAAAAACTTTAGATTGTTAGTATAGAAATAAACCTTTATATAATATGCTACATGTTTAATTACAGACAATTATTGTCATTTTACATAAATTTGACTGTAATTTAAGAAAGCAGAAAGATGATGTATAATTAATACAGTAATTTTTACAGTAAAAAAATGAGAAATAAACATAGTTTGTCACTACTGGCATGACACTTTAAAAAAACAGGTGGGTTCTTAATTTACAGATAATATCTGTAATTTTACAGTTTTGTATACTATTTTTAAAAGACAGAAAACTACTGTAAAAATTTAAAGTTATTTACCGTAAAATTAGGAATTTTTTTTACAGTGTAGGTTAGCAACATTGTTAGCAACATTGTGTCCAACCTGCTAAATGTCTTGATCTTTGTCTCCAGGGTTCTGTTCCAGCTGTTTTTCCTCTCTTTCTCTTCTCTGGCTTGTTGTGCTGACTTCTGTATTCAAGTTATTTACTATTTTTCAGTGTTTATCTTATTTCTGAACAAAAAACAATAATTGTTCAGGAGCTATTCTTAAGCATGTCTGCTCAGTTCGTTACCATAGTAATCTCTCTAGTAGCAGTCTCTGTCTCTCTCTCTCTCTCTGTCTCTCTCCTCTGAGCTCCTTCACCTCCTTTGACAGAGAGGTAAGTTCTCTCCTGTGCTCCTCTCTCTCTCCTCTGAGCTCCTCCACCTCCTTTGACAGAGAGGTAAGTTCTCTCCTGTGCTCCTCTCTCTCTCCTCTGAGCTCCTTCACCTCCTTGGAGAGAGAGGTAAGTTCTCTCCTGTGCTCCTCTCTCTCTCCTCTGAGCTCCTCCACCTCCTTTGACAGAGAGGTAAGTTCTCTCCTGTGCTCCTCTCTCTCTCCTCTGAGCTCCTTCACCTCCTTTGACAGAGAGGTAAGTTCTCTCCTGTGCTCCTCTCTCTCTCCTCTGAGCTCCT